GGGAGGGTAAGAGGATTCACCAGAGACAGAGAGGAGCACAGAACAGGCAGACTGACGAAATACACTGCTGAGGGGAGCAGCGGGCAAGACAGGAGAGGTCTGCTGAGCCATGTGGGACCCTCACTGGCTGGCCGGGATCGAACCGGTGCTGCAGTGGCTGCGGACAGCTTCACAGTGCAGCGCTCAACCACCTGGGGAGGCCCTGGTATACAATTTGCCAGAAGTTTATCTGTGGAAGATAGAGCAGCAAATTATGTCACTCATAGCCAGGCATTCATTGGATAATTCTCTGAAAATACCTGTCCAGTCAGGGTGAAGCATCTGGTGACACTTGACTTAAAATTTAATCTATTTTTAAAAGTGCAGTCATGAAAAAATGAAGTACAACTTTGAAGGCCAATAGTTGGTGTTGAAAAACTAAAATAGGGATTAGAAACTATTTTTAGGGAATTATTTTGTCTATAAACCTATTCTTTTGACTCACATTTGGCAAAAAATTAAATGACTTCCATGCAAGCTCCAGACCATGTTTAGGAATATAGATTTTATAAGAGAGTATCAATCCAAATGTCTCTAATAAAACCTATATGTGAGCACTTAGAAAAGCGACATTCCAAGTTACTTGGCTGGAAGTTAAGATTATTACTAACCAATATTTGTAAAAACCACATTCAAGGAAGATTGGTTCAAGTTCACAGTTTTTCAGGATGGTCTTAAACTTTCAATCTCTAATCAGGAGGAAGTGATGTCCATATTGTATCACAACATTCCATAGCCCACCCCTCTTTGCTGTTTTTCCTGAGTTTGCAATGTGCTTTGGATTGTCAGCTTGTTTTGAGGGTCAGCATAGAAGCAGTCCATGTTCTTTGGTCTCTTTAACTTCAGTATATTTTCTATGATCTCACATGGTGTTCTAATTATCAATGACTTCTAGCTACCCCAACTTAAGACACAATTCAAAAGGCATATCCCTCCAAAAAAGCTCTCTTCAAACACTAGCCACACATTTGGAGCTCTCTAGGTCACCGTCACTTCTGACCAACCTGTTACAAACCTATGCAGATTCAAGGGTTCCCACTAGCCCCTCAAGTTCATGCATTTGCTACAGTAATTCAGAGAACTCAGGAAAGCACTATACTTACGAATACTGAGAATCAGAGAAATATGCAGGGTAGGGTCTTGGAAAGTCTTTAAACACGAAGCTTTCATTGTCCCCTGCTGCCCTCTTGGCAAACAGATGTATGACAAAGTGCAATACAAAGTGTATTGCCAGCCAGGAAAGTTTACCTGATCTTTATTGTCCGGAGTTTTTCCTGAGACTTCAGTAAGTAGACTTGACTGAATCATTGGCCATATAACTGAACTCAGTCTCCAGTTTCCCTCTCTGATATCATGTGATTCAACGCCCCAGCCCACTAATCAAATGATCAGTCTTTTTGACAGGCATTTCTCATCTTGAGTTACTCATTAGTATCAATTATCAGGTGCAGTCAGAGAACCCAGCCAGAATAACAAAGATACTCAAAAAATTCCAAGAGTTTAGAGGCTACCTCTCAGGAACAGGGACCAAAGAGCCAAATTCCTTATTATATAGAGCCCCTATCTGATCAGTTTCCCTTTTCTGAGAAAACTGATAACCAAAATGGAGGATCACTTTTAGGTTTGAATTAGTGTGCATGTACCTTTGTGTATTTATTGGAAGTGTAAATGAAATATTCCCAAATACTTAAGAGATTATTGGTGGTTCTGGAAATAGAAAACAAGGGAATAGGTTCTGTTGCCTTCCTATGGAGTCTTTGGGTCTCTACTCTAACTTTATTTACAGAAATCTATTGTTTTCTCTACTGAAGGAGTGCCCCTGGCTCCAAGACTTGAGAATTCCTAGTGTGTTCTGCCATGCTGCTGCCTTTAGCTGCAATCTTAGGAGTGTGTTCTTCCTCTCTTATCCACTCTTTACAGCCATTCAGCCAGGAAGTTCTATTGTGTGTCCTATACATCGGTATCAAGAAGATGTTTTTGAGACCGGTATAAGCCTTGGTTTTAATTCCATATGTTTATATAAGCTATTTCCATTGGATTTGTCATTCTAAGCCTTAGTTTTTGTTTTACTTCCCTGTTTATGCTTACCTAAATTGATATTTTCTAAATGGCTTTTTCTTAAATTGACTTAATTTTTATAATTTTTGGCCTAACTCACATTTTCATTTTAAATTGACTTAATTTTTATAATTTTTGGCCTAACTCACATTTTCATTTTCTACCTATATGACAATCCCTTATGACTGTGTTGAGTACCATCTGTTATAGCTGCTGTTTCATTAATGTTCCCTCTGCTCTCAGCTTATGAATAAAGATGAAGACTATGCACTGACCCCTTTGCTACCATACTTGACATTTTAAACCAATTAGACAAACATACAGCTTGTTATTATGACTCTTTGCCTAATACTTAAGCTGATCTTTTATTGTTACAATTGTGGTTTTTGTCCAAGTCTCATTTTATAATGAAAATTTTATCTGTTGCTTTGAGAAGTTCAGTATATAACATCTGTGGCATTCTCTTCATCTCGCTATTCTATAAATTCATGAGTAAAATGTAGTCTATCTACCCAGCATGAGATTTTTTTTTTTTTAAAGAAAAATTAGACCAAAAAGCTCGTGGGGCTTTGATTTGCACATCTTTGCAGTGCTTTTTATGGATTATCTCCTAATATTATATATTCATAAATGATTTCAAACATATGCTACAACTAATTATATCAGATTCCAAGCTTTATAAAAGAATAAAGAAAAGAAGGAAGTAGGAGAGAAGGAAGAAAGAGAAGAGAAAGAAAGAAAAAATATATTTTTCCCAGTGTATCCTTAACACTTTCTTTGTCACTAATGTCTGATGAACAGCTGTTAACATGTATGCTGCAAAAGAAAGAAGCACAGAACCAATAAAGCCAAGTCTTGTTTCCTGACATCATGGCACGTTGACAGCAGTGGGACTAAGGGTGTTGGAACATAGTGATGGTTCTCTTCTACCGAGAATCCTCCTAATCAAGGGATTTGAGAAAGTAGAGATCATAGAAAACAGAGCACCTCCATTTGACAGTTATTATGTACCCCTATTTGTGAGTCACAGTGGGGACCTACAAAGATGAATAGAGCAGTTTTCTCATGCATATGTTATTATCTAATGGGTCCAATTTGAGTCGATTACATGAAAATAGTAGCATTAACAAGGTTCTCACACCATGTATTTTAGAAGACCATTAATCAAGTTTGGAAATACTCCCTTTTCACACATCAGAGCCTAAGCTCCAGGCTTCTGGTGAGTTATTTTTTGGCTTAAGATTTAGAGACAAACTATCTAACAACCAAATGAAAGTGTGAACCTAGGGTGGTCTTGGTGGGAGCTGGAGAGGGGAGGAGCATTAAGAAGTGTTCTTGGGACAAAATTGAAGATTTTAAGTATTGCCTTGATGCATACTATTTTGGAATTTTTTTTTAAGATTTATTTATTTATGCATACAAGAGCTAGAGTATTGGCCAGAGGTGGAGGGGATGAGAAGATTCACCAGAGACAGAGTGGGGAGGAGAACAGGCGGATCTACCAAAATACACTGCTGAAGGGAGCAGCGGGCAAGTCAGGAGAGGTCTGCTGCACCATGTGGGTTGTTCCCTGGCTGGCCAGGAATTGAACTCGTGCTGCAGTGGCTGCTGATAGCTTCATAGGTTGCATCTTAACCCTTGAGCCACCAGGGAGTCCCTATTTTGGAATTATTGTCAACTTTCTTAGATGTGATGATAATGCACTGTGGTTGGCCTTATTCTTGGAGAATCGTGCTGCACTCAGTATTTAGGAATGAAGTGTCATGATGTCTGCAACTTATTTTAGCAAAATAAAAGCTGGGTAGTACATAAATATATATGTTGTGATAATGTGTGTGTGTTTGTGTGGGTGAGGGTGTGTGTGCATGCATGTGTGTAGAGAGAAATTAACAAAAAGGTTAATAATTATTGCATATAGTATAGGACTGTTCCTTGTGCTATTTTTTCAGCTTTTCTGCATTTGTGAAATTTTTTATAATAAAAATGGCAAGAAAAGAAAAGAAACAGTGAGAGATAGATGACTTAAAATAGCTTCCAGGTTTACTAATTCATTCACACATCATGACATGACTGTGTCAGCAATGCCAGCTTTTACAAGTAAAGGAGAACTTCCTAACTGAACTATAGCTCAGAAATGGTTGCATGGCAGAAATGGAAATCAGATGGATCTTAAAGAACAAGTAAGATTTGTAAGAGTGAAAAGTTAAAGAGAAATAAAATTACCTCAAGGAAAGATAATATGTGGAACCTTTCTTGTTACAGAATGTTACCAAAATGTATTTAAAATTATTTGTATTGGAGAAAAACGGGGTAATTGTGCCTGAAAACAATATTTGAGAAAAGTTTGTCTAGAAGAAAAGAAAAGGTGAATATGATGGGAAAATTATTGAAATCATGAAACCCTTTAGGAGACGTCCTTTGGGAATCCCATAAGACATTAAAAACTGGACTCGAAGTGACAACATTGTGAATGAAGGAGAGAAGTAATATGAAAGATAGTTGAAGTGGAAAATTGATCAGAACATTATTACAAATTTAACTGAGAATTGTAGAAAGGAACAAGTCAAAGATAACACCACATTTTTATTGTTGAAGAGAGTGAGGATGTACGACAATTAATGAAGACAAGAGGGAGAGATGGGGTAGGAAGGGATGATGAGACCATGTTGACTTTTAATTTCCTACACAGTTATCCAAATGGAATGTCATGTAGATTGTTAACAGTAGATCTAGACTTGGAGATTTAATCAAGGACAGGAATGGAGAAATTTGAAATGTTGTCAGCATTAATGGACTCCCTTTGTGCCTCCCCCCTAATTTCTTCCCTTTTAAGCTGTGACATTTTTCATCAGTTAATTGGGCATTTATCAAAATAATATCATGTATCTGTTTCTACTTTACAGAAAGAAATTCTGGAACAACAGCAAAAAGAAAGAGATGATAACAATTTTCATGGCATCTGTATGTTTTGCAATGAGGAATTCCTCGGAAACAGGTTTGCCACTACACATGTCCTTAAATGTTTCTGTTTTTCAACTGAAAACTTACTGGTTTTCTATAACCATCCATAATGGTTATATGAGTTAAGTTCTATGGGATGCCTCAAGATGCTTTCATATATCGGCAGTACATTTTTTTCCTTTCAATATGAGTAACATCAAACATGTACTGTATTTGCTATAAGCAACTATATAGAAAAATAATTTTTTTGCCAAAAATAAATTTATATTTAATATTGTAGGACTTTTTAAACCAGCTGACAGGCAAGATCATGTGCAGCAGACTACACAAATTCATCCTTCTATATTAACTTGTAAGCTCTAAACCTCATTTCTCAGTAGCAGTTTTTATTGTTTTACTCTTTAATATTAAAAATAATAAAGATCTAAGGGGGAAAAAAGTCTGAGGGATTGATCATTCTGTCACTAACCCCTTTGTTTGATAAATCACTATATCAAGGGCTGTTTGTGATGAATTTTCTCTTGTTACTTTCAAGATTCTGTCTTTGAATTTCAACAGCTTGTGGTTGGATGGATTTCTTTGATTCATTCTACTTTAAGTCTGTTGGGCTTCTTAGATGTTTTGGATTAATGTTTTTCATCAGATTTGGGGGGTTTGGGCCATGATTTTCTCAAATATTCTTTCTGCCCCTTTCTCTCCTCATGTTTTGATAATCCTGTATTATTCATATATGGATAGACATGGTGATCGCTGAGGCATTTATTTTTCCTCATTGTGTTTTTCTTCTGTTTCTCAGATTAGAGAATCTCAAATGACCAATCGTCTAGGTTCACTGGTCCTTTGTTCTCTCAGCTCCTAGTGAGTTTTTCATTTCAGTTATTGTACTTTTCCATTCCAGATTTTGGGGATATTTTTCCCCTCTTTTTATATTTTTTTTTAGTGAGATATCATTCTCATATTTTCTTTTGATTCTTTACACATAACCATGTGTAATGTCCTTTGTTCTTTGAACATATTCATATTAGCTGATCCAAAGTCTCTGCCCAACATTTTGGCTTCCTCGGGGACATTTTAGCTTCCCTGGGGACAATTTCTATTGACTTTTTTTCACATGAATGGCCTATATTTCTTGTTCCTTTGTATGACAAATAATTTTTGTTGAAAACACATTCATAATAACATATTGTGGTAACTCTAGAAATTATATTTGTCCCCCTCCCAGCGAGGGTTTTTATTGTTGCTGCTTGTATATTTAGTAACTTTCCTGAACTAATTCTCGGATACATTCTTACGTATGTGTAGCTACTGAGTTGTCTTAGCTACTGAGTTGTCTTTTCAATGAGCTTAGTTCATCTAATGATAAGATAGAATTGAACTTAAATACCTGCAACTAATATATCTTCATGTCTGCCAAGATACTCTGTGTATAGGGTGAGACATACTTTCAACTGTCCATCAGTTTACAACTCTGCCCTAGCTTTCACTTCCAGGTTATGTAGAGTCTCAAGAGTCAGTCATTTTGAATAGGGTTTTCCCAGGTCCTTCCTGGGCATGCACACAGCCCAGCACATGTGTGTGTCTTCTAGATCCATGGGACTATGTTAGAACATTTCAAATTCCCCTGTAGACATCTCATTCCCCAGATTTTGATTTTTTGGCAAGCATTTTGTTTAATACAACAATGAGTTCCATATAGGTAAACCTTTATTTCTACAGTGTAAACAAGGGGAAATATTTAAGAAGGGAAAGTACACTAAGTAGCTTCAATTTCCTAATGTATAACCCTACATTTCAGGTCATTAGGCTGCAGAGAGATTGAGAGCAGAACTTGTCTCTCATGAGTGTATTCAGTGTGATTCTTAAAGGCACAAGAACTTGATGCAACATAGCCAGGTGGTAGGATGATGGAAACTTCCCAAACCACCCTTATCCTTGAGTCAGCTGCTATATCTGACCCTTTCCAGGCACAGTCTAGACTCTGGATCATTATCCAGGAAATTCAGGGCAGATAGAACTTTGCTTAGCCACTCTAGGGAGAGCCTCCCCAGATCTAGAGGCACTGTATTCTCTATCCCAAGAGAGTCTTGAGGGCAGGGAAAAGTTTTTAACTTTCTGCCTAACACTGCCAAATACCCACTCTGCCCCCTTTAGGAGCCTCCCAGCTCCATCTCCACCTGGTACCCACTCACAGTCTGGGTCTCAGGCCTAAATCTCCTAGGGAAACCCACCTCTTCTCGAGACATAATGAATCAACAGAATTGTCATTGTATATCGAAGTTACCATAACTGTTGCATGTTTCAGATGTGCTGTGGGAGTCAGGTCTCTGTCCAGTGACGAGTTGACTAAATGTCTGTGATCCCAGGTCATATTTCTCTTGGGCATTATCTCTTTTTCTTCCCCTTGGTAAATTGAAAAGAAGCAAAAAACCATTTTTTTAAGAACAGAAACCTGACTTACCTATAGAGAACAACCTTGGCCAGTGACACATAGTAGAACAAACTTGGACTCCCTTTGAAGGACTGATATGATTATATGTGTATTTACATATGATTACACATGTTGATTATATGTCTCCTTACATGCTTTATGTCTCTCTTTCATAGCCCAGTTGTGTGTTTCAGTGTTTGACACTAGCTTGTACTTCTAATTAGCATTATCATTGTACAAATGCTATTCCTGGCTTGATTTGCACCTCGATGATTTATAAATAATACAAATTGCTCAAATTTCTTCCTAGGTCAGTTCTTTTGAACCATATGGCCAGAGACCATGCTTTCAACATTGGGTTGCCAGACAACATTGTAAACTGCAATGAATTTCTATGTACATTACAGAAAAGACTTGACAAGTAAGTACTTTTTAATGAAATATAATCCAAAATTATTTTAACCTGTTATGAATTTTTTTAATTAATTTGATAGCCAGAAGTAATTAAAGAAATGGAATTTCCTCATTTCTCATGTTGAAGGAGTTCTCATTTTGTGTGACTGCTATTTTACCTAACTCATATTGCTTTTCATGATTTTTTTTTTAAATTCATTTATTTATGCATACAAGAACTGGGGTACATGCTGGAGGTGGGGGGGGGCGGGGTGAAAGGATTCACCAGAGACAGAGTGGGGAACAAAACAGGCAGAATGACTGAAATACACTGCTGAGGGGAGGAGCGGAAGAGTTAGGAGAGGTCTGCTGTGCCATGTGGATCACCTCCCTGGCCAGGGATCGAACTCATGCTGTAGTGGCTGTGGATAGCTTCATAGGTTGCATCTTAACCCCTCACACCACCAGGGAGGCCCTGCCTTTCATGAATTTTTAAATAAAACTTGTCATATATATCAAACAATGTATGTCCTACATAAGAGACAGTATGCTCTATAGGATATAACGAATACACTCAATCCTCAGCCTCAGAAATAAACATTATTAATTCCTTTGACTCTCCCAATATGTCCTTCCTCATTAGTATTTCCCCAGAAACCACTATTTTTAGTTTTGGACTTTATAATTCCTTTACTGTTCACTATCCTTTATCTACAAGTTTAGTAAATAGTCAAGTTGTATGTTATTCAGCTTTATGTGAAGTGTAACATACTATTTGCATTCTTTCACTGGTTAGTTTTTATTCACATTTTCTCCTAGGTCATATTCTGGCAATTTGGGGTATCTAGAGCTTTGCTTATAGAAATAAGAAAGGAAATTCTCTTCACCAAAATGACTTTCAAAAATCAGTCTACTTTTCTTTCTATATTTAAATATAATTCTAAGGAATGTCATTTCTCAGCTCAAACTATCTGGAGCAGTAATACTTAAAAAAGAAGTATCAAGGAAATATCAAGTGATACAGATAATTATTAAAACTTCCAAATTCAGATTTTGGTATCAGCACCGTGTTTAAACAAGGTCCTTCACACTTTCATTAAATGATCCTTTATTTGTAAAATAAGACCAGATGTGCCTTCTACTAAGAGTATCAGTAATGAATATCCCTAATCAGCTTGTCACCCATACACTGTTTACAATAAAATAATGTAGTTTATTCCCCTGGCATAAGAAATAGTTGAAAGGTGTTTAATAGAGATGAAAAATTTGAAAATGAAGCAACCACTAAAAAGATTACACTTACTTGTGTGAGTCCAAAAAAGTGGAATTCTAGTGAATGTTGGCTAGAAGTTACAGGCAGTATCAACTCTTATGAAAAAGACTTTTTTTTTTAAATCTGTTTAAAACTAGTTGGTAATCACTACCCCATTAGGCTAGTCAGTGGAGATATTAGCACAGAAGGTACATAAGAATAAGATAGTGGGCCTTCCTGGTGGCACAGGTGGTTGAACACCACACTGTGAAGCTGTCTGCAGCCTCTGCAGCATGGGTTCGATCCCGGTCAGCCAGGGAGAAACCCACATGGCACAGCAGGCCTCTCCCATCTCGCCCGCTGCTCCCCTCAGCAGTGTATTTCAGTCTGTCTGCCTCTTCTGTTCCCAGCTCTGTCTTTGGTGAATCCTCTCAACCTCCTGTGCATCTGGCCTGTACCCCAGTTCTTGCATAAATGAATAAATCTTTTAAAAAGAAAAAAAAGAAGTTAGTAATAACAGCTACTATTTATTGATCATTTCTGTGATAGAATTTTATTCATATATACATAATTGCACATCTATTCACATGTATAAGTTATATATGTATATGTGTAAGTTATTACTAAAATTCCTTTAAATATAGGTATTCTTTCATTTCGAGATCAGAAAATGAATGGTAACAGAACAAGTAACTTGACCAAGTCCACAGCTAACTCCTTGAGCTAGGAACCAAACCCTGCAAGGCAGCTCACAGAATATATCAAACCATGGACTAATTAATCATTATACTTAATGAAAGCCACCAATTTTAGTTATTATAATTTTTGTAGATGATATCTACATTTTCATTTTTAGAATAGATAATTTGATAAGTAAAGCACCAGGTTAATTTTTGGATATTAGCTGTCTTTGTCTTAATTTTAACTGAACAACCAAATTAGCCAACTACAAAATAAACCACAGCATGCATTCTATAAAGCCAAATGAATAAAATAAGAGGGATTATTTTTTTCAATTTTTATTTTCCCCATACAATTGCAACTCCCACCTTTCCCCAACACCCCCACCCCCGCCCCCGCCATAGGGTGTCTCTGGTTCATAGTTTTTTGTTGATTTTGATTTTTCTTTCTTATTGTTTAAAATAAGAGGGATAATGAGAAAGATTTCAAAACTCACTTGAAGAGTCTATTATGACCTAAGATGAATAAATATAAGACTTAGGATAATAAAAGACTATTGCAGCAGCTTTCCAAGAGATATTTAATTTATCAGTGTTTATATATTTCTTTTAGCTTGCAGTGCTTATACTGTGAGAAGACCTTTCGGGACAAAAATACACTTAAGGATCACATGAGAAAAAAACAGCATCGTCGGATCAACCCTAAGAACAGAGACTATGACCGATTTTATGTCATCAATTACTTGGTAAGATTTTCTTTTCATCTTTTTATGGCCATCTAATATTTTTAAAGCAGTTAGTATGTAAGTTAAGATGTAATTGAGGGATACTTCCAATCAGTGAGTAACTTTAAAATGATTGGTTTACAAAGCATAACTTGATTTGGTTTGTCTTTAATTTGCCAGATGTTCATATACTAAAAGTCTCTAGAACTCAAAGTGATCTTGACAAAAATTTAAAAAAAAAAACAAAAACAGAAAGTCTTTGCCTATCCCCCTCACTCTCTCTGACTTATTGTATTATCTTTTACCTTGAGGCCAAACACTTATATAGTATTCAAAAACACTTGTTGAGCCCTGGATGTCCTACTAGCTAGATTATTCTTTAAAAAACAATCTCTTGGCTCTCTTCCTCTATCACCATTAAAAATAAATCCTCCCCTTCCTCACAAAAACTTTATCATTCTATTTAGCCAACTTATTTTTAATGGTAATCTTAAAGAAACCAAGTCAATTTGCTGGGCAAGAAGACTTTTATTTGTTTGGCTAATAGGATGGAATAAGGGTTTACTATGTCAAGAGTTTAAAATATATTGAAAACTTTCCTTGCACAGGAACTTCATTCCACCTGCTGGCCTCTGTAGATTACAGTCTCTTTTTATTAAGAAGAGGTATTCATTTGGAGGTAAATGTCACAAGGAGACATTTGGAAATTTAAGAGATAATTTTTAATTGACACAGCGACTGTGGAATACCAATGACCCTACCTCCAGTCTACAAGGAGGGAAACTACTTGTGTAAAGAGAGGGATTCAATAACTCTCCAGTGAGATTACATGTGAGGAGCTCTGTTTCTGTGTATTTTAAACAAATGAAAATTGTTTCTCCCTTAATATGAATGAATTAGAATCCAAACCCACTGACCACAGAAGGCTAATTGAATATAGTCAAACATTTTATCTATTGGGCAGAAATAAGCATCTCCTGGCTCGTTTTAGAAATTTCTGATGTAGGGTAGAATGTTTGTCTGTTCTAACTAATCCTTATAATGTTAAAATAAAATTCTCCTTGAGAAGCAAGTTTAACATGTGTCTGAAGATTGAGTCTGAGAGGTTGCCATGGTTTACTACAAATGTTTTACAACTAGCTAAAGGCAAAGGCAGCCTTTAAGCTCTTCAATCTTTCTTGAAATCACTCAGTCATTAATTCCTTGAGCAAATGCTGCTTCAGGGCCCAGCCCAATCCAATAGGGAAAGGGCTTCAGTGTTAACTCTAAGAAATATTCAACTACTGAAGAAAGCAATGGAAGCAATTTAACAGAACTTCCTTCTGGGGCTCTTAAGCTAATATTCAAGATCTGGGACTAGTGTAACATATATTGCTAGAGGAACATTATATAGCTCCTCTTTTAGAGGATACTTCAAATGGACTGCTCACAACTGGCATCATGTAGTATGACTGTCAAAACTGAAATCATCTCTGAGGGCTAGCTGTCTGTGAAGGCCAGCTGTCTCTAGATGAGAATGCTAGATTATACTGCCCACTGAGTGCCCGGATTTGATGTGGCATGAATCATGACTGGAAAGAAGTGTTCAAGAAAATTAAAAGCTTCAGTGACATATAATATGAAAATGATATCCTTTAGGATAATACTGATAGAAGTATTTTTTTTTAACTAGCAGCATTTGAGTACTTGCCACATGCAAGGCATTTATATTAAATCATTTAATCTTAACCACGTACCTGTGACACAGATTTTAGCATTGTCCTGTTTTATAGGTTATGAGATTAAGGTCTGAGAAGTTGAGTAATTTTTCCAGCTTAGGGGCCTCCCTGGTGGCACAACGGGTTAAGCACCACACTATGAAGCAATCCACAGCCTCTGCAGCACGAGTTTGATCCCGGCCAGCTAGGAAGCAACCCACATGGCACAGCAGACCTCTCTTGACTCGCCCGTTGCTCCCTTCAGCAGTGTATTTCAGCCAGTCTGCCTGTTCTGTTCCCCACTCTGTCTCTGGTGAATCCTCTCACCCACTGCACCTCTGGCCCGTACCCCAGCTCTTGTATGCATAAATAAATAAATAAATCTTTTTTAAAATTTTTTTTTCCAGTTTACCTAATCTCTTACTTTCCTTCCTTTTTCCCTCAGGTTTACAGTTGAAATAATAATGATATCTGCATGTTAACTTTACATTGAGATTTTTGGTCAAGCAATAGTGATAAAATCATGTTGATCAATTCACTCTCCCTTGTCTAGTCTCTCATAACAAACCAGAAAGGAGCTGACTTTAACAGCTCCTTAAGGGCTCTAAGCTTGGCCTTCTTAGTTCTGTATGCTTTCATCCTGGGGCAAAAAGCCAACAACATTAAAAAATTTTTAAACCTGAAATGCGTGGTGGTGCCTTAGCATTTTGGAAATGATGTAAATTTATCTTTAGAAAGGATTGAAGAAGCTAATGAAGACTCTAAAGATGTATACGTGTCCTAAAGTAAAGAGTACCCACAAGAGGCATCACTCTTAGTAGCATTCTAGATTGTTGTAAATAAAGGGCTTAATAACATATAGAATGAGTGTATAAAAGACTTTCCAGATACTAATAGTGGGCAGTTAGAGAAAAATAGTGGGCAGTTAGAGGACCAAAGGTTTCTCAGCGTTCTTTTAGTTGTCTTCTAGCCCCCGTTAATAAAAAATACTTCATGTGATGACTAGGTTCTGCAAGTTTACCTAAGCAATAAATAAAAATGACACTGCATTAATTTTTTAAAGACAAAAAAAAAATTTTAAATGATGAGTGAGACATTCGCTTAATTTCTTTCTCTGAGGAAAAGGGCTGGCAGCAGTGCATGAATGTGGGCAAGAAATGAAAGAACTGTATTAGTCAATGTCTGGACATCCATTGCTCACATTCTCTTCCCCTCAGAAGCAATTTCACTGGCTTCATATATTCTACCAACCTTCAAATGCCTTCCGAGGACAAGATGCTGGTGGAACAGAAAGAAACCAGCAGGCAAACTGGTTGATTTAGTCACCTTGCAAAGAGTTTAAGAGTGTGGTAGGAGAAACACACCTGTAAGCAGTGTAATTTCAACACCTTGTCATGATTTCTACAAAGTTTTTATTTTGACCTTTCCTCCTATAGCAAATATATGCAGTAATTGACCTCTGTTTCAGAGAGAATCTCCAGCGGTGACGGAAGCATCCAGGGTATTCCTAACAGGGTGCACTCAAAGTGAATAAAAGCTGGGACAGCCAAGGGACAAAGACGTTCTTTTTGGCTATCCCCTCAGTTTTGAAATTGACAGGTTCCTTTTTCCTTTGGTGAGATAATTTCCATATTTAATATTTCAGTATCGGTTTTGAGTAACAACACACTTGAAAATACGCTAAAGGTCTTTGCATAGTCTAGATTATCCACTTCAAGTTTTGCTTTATTTTCACACAAACAGAAGGGTTCAGTGCATTGATGGGGTGGCTAAGGTCCCAGGAGGTTCTTGTGCTCAGATTCCTCTACCTCAGAGGACAACAGCCTGCTGGCCATCATCAACACTTCAGCTGCATATTCCTAAGGTGCTAATGTTTCCACCTCTGAGTTTTCTAAAGGGAACTTATTTCTGCAGTGGTTTTACCATTCTTTGATTTAAACTTTTTTATTCTTAAAATATATAAAGCCATTTGTAGGCAAACTGTTTTTCAGAGTTTTGTTGTAGTTCACGTTAATGAAAGAATTTATATTTAAAAACTTCTCTTTCCCTATTTCTATTTTTTTGTGTAAGCATATGTAAGAATGTGTGTTTTGGGGCACAAGGATGCTGGGTCTTTTTTTTTTCCATGTTTTTTTCCACCCTCTCATTGATCATAAACCATCTGATGCAGGGGTTTGTGGGGGCGTTCTGAACATCTTTACTGACATGCCTTCCAAAATTTGTTTTTCTTGCATGCTTTGCTTTCGTGATATGATTCATTAGCAAGCACTGTGTCTTAATTTGAGAGTTAGATGCTTTTTTTTCTCTGTGTCTTGAACCCTATGTCATATATTTAACAATACAAGGCAGAGGGCCCTAGGAAAATGTGGGCCACTGTCACATGTCCGTTACTTTTTTCCTGATATAGTAATAAACACAGAATTCCCTTTTCCTCTCAAGTGGCAAATGCTTAGTGCTGTATTGCCTAGATAAATCCCTACATGTTGCTCCTAAGTACTGAGAAAGTTGTAAATGATACTTTTGAGTTTGGAAGTTTGACACTGAAAGAAAGCTTTTGTCACTTTTGACTCAAAACATTTATTGATAAGCAACATCTGTCCATATCATTGAGAATGATAATATCACAAATGGCCCATCCTTTAGTAATATCTTACATCCAGAGAGGCCAAATAATGAATTAAAAATTTATTTCATCACCAGCTAACAAGTATCTTGTTGGCAATGTTGAGCACATTCTCAGGTCCATAATGAGGTTCCCATACTTCATGATCACTATGGGAAGGACATTATAGAGCCCAAATTAACTGTCTCCACTGACATTATGGTAAATCTTGCTTGTCTGAGTTTATACATCATTTTAGCTGATAGATAATGACAGCTTCAAAAACGTCTCATTAAGTTGATGAGTGATAGATTTTTCCCCCTAAATCTTTTTTTTTTTTTAAGATTTATTTATTTATTTATTTGTACAGGCACTGGGTACAGTCAGAAGTGCAGGAGGGTGAGAGAATTCACCAGAGCCAGAGAGCAGGGAACAGAACAGGCAGACTAATGAAGTACACTGCTGAGGGGAGCAACGGGCACGGCAGGAGAGGTCTGTGTGCCATGTGGGACCCTCACCCGCGGCCGGGGATCAAACCGGAGTTGCAGAGGCTGTGGGCAGCTTCATAGCCCAGCGCTCAACCACTGCACCACTGGGGAGGCCCCCCTAAATCTTAATGGCACTCATAGTTCTTTGTTTTCAGTTAAATGAATACCTCCCTTGAGAAAAAAAATGTTCACAAATGTTCACAAAAAAATGTTCACACAAAATTCACAAATGAATTTTGGATATGTTCTTCCAAAAGATTATCTGCTTTTTTTTCTTTTTTTGTAAATGACAAAAAAATTTTTGTGACATTGGTTTACAACTCTGTACATAAGTCAGAGGCATAGGATCACACCTCATCAGATTTATGTCAACACACCACACCTAACACCCACAGTTCTCCACCAGGGTCTACTGTGGCCCTTCTCACTTTGCTCTCCTCCCTCCTTTACCTCCTCTCCCTCAGGTAGTCTTTTTTTTTTTTTATTTTAATTTTTATATTCCCCATACAATTACAACCCTCTTATTTTTACCCCAAGCCCTCCTTTCCCTGCCCCCCACCCCCCCATAGAGTGTCTCTTGTTCATAGTTATTTGTTGATTTTGATATTTTCTTTCTTATAGTTATTCTTTTTCCTGGTCCCTTATTTAAGTTTTCTAGATTCCTGCTATGAGTGAGACCATCCGGTATTTCTCTTTTTCTTTCTGGCTTATTTCGCTGAGCATGATCCCTTCCAGCGCCCAACTCAAAATGGATTAAAGAACTAGACATAAGACCTGAAACCATAAAATACATAGAAGGCGAAACACTCCATGATATGCACATCAAAGACATCTTTACAGACACATCACCCAAAGCAGTGATAATGAAGGCAAAGATAAACAGCTGGGACTACATCAAATTAAAGAGCTTCTGCGCAGCAAAAGAGACAATAACAAAAACAAAGAGAAACCCCACCGACTGGGAGAACATTTTTGCACACAACACTAATGATAAAGGACTGATCACAAAAATCTGCAAAGAGCTGATGAGACTCAACAACAACAAAGAAAATAATCCAGTCAAAAAATGGGCAGAAGAGCTAAAAAGAAATTTCTCTGAAGAGGAAATGCAAATGGCCAACAGGCATATGAAAAAATGTTCAGCATCACTTGCAATCAGGGAAATGCAAATCAAAACTACCATGACATACCATCTTACACCAGTGAGAATGGCACATATTAAAAAAACTAGCAACAACAAATGTTGGCGAGGTTGTGGAGAAAAAGGAACTCTCCTGCACTGTTGGTGGGAGTGCAAACTGGTCCAACCACTATGGAGAGCTGTGTGGAGATTTCTGGACCTACTAAACATAGAGCTTCCATATGATCCAGCAATCCCTCAGGTAGTCTTAATTCTACAGTCAGATCGCTAGGGTTTGTTACAGGTTTGGTTTTGTCTGACTTTTGTTTCATTTCTCTGTATTTCACATGTAAGTGAAACCATCCAGTATTTGTCTTCTCCTCGTTTATTTCACTTAGCATTATATCCTCCAATTCCTCCATCCGTGTTATCATAAATGGGAAAAGTTTATTTATTTTTTTTTTTTTGGTAACTGAATAGTATTTCATTATACACACACACACCACATCTTCCTAATCCACTCATCTGCTCTTAGGCACTTAGGTTGTTTGCAGTTTCCATAACATAACTGTTTTAAGTGATGCTGCAATGAGCATAGGCATGCATAAATTTCTTCACATTAGTGTTTTTGCATTCTTCGGTAAGTGCTTAGGAATTGAATTGCTAGATCCTATGGTAGATCTATTTTTAATATTTTGAGAAATCTCCATATTGTTTTCCACAGAGATTGGGCCTCTCTACATTTCCACCACTAGTGTATGAGGGCTTATTTTTCTCCACATTCTTCCCAGCACTTGTTTCTGGTCTTTTTAATATGGACCCTTTTCACTGGTGTGAAATGGTATCTCATTGTGTTGTTTTTTTTAAAAGATTTATTTATCTATGCATACAAGATCTGGGGTACAGGCCAGAGGTGTGGAGGGTGAGAGGATTCACCAGAGACAGAGTGGGGAACAGAACAGGCAGATAGACCAAAGTACACTGCTGAGGGGAGCAACAGGCGAGTCAGGAGAGATCTGCTGCACCATGTGGGTTGCTCCTTGGCCGGCTAGGGGATCAAACTCGTGACACAGAGGCTGCAGACACAGCTTCATAGGTTGCGTCTTAACCCCTTGCACCACCAGGAAGGCCCCTCATTGTGGTTTTGATGTTGGTAAATGTTAATGAAAAATTGCTCATTAAGTGCCTGTTAGCCATTAGTATGTATTTGAACAAATGTCTTTTTAGCTCTTCTGCCCACTTTTTGATTGATTTATTTGTTTCCTTTTTGTTAAGTTGTATATGTTCTTTATGTATCTTGGGTGTCATTCCCTTTTCAGATACATTATGTTCAAATATTTTCTTACATTTGGTAGGGTGTCTTGTTGCTATGCAGAAGCTTTTTAGTTTCATGTAGTTCCATTTTATATCTATATATATATATATTTTTTTTCCCCCTTGCTGTTAGAGACAAATCCACAAAGACCACGATGTCTGTATTTAAAGCAGATCAGAGTGGGTCTAATGATAATCATAGTTTTGCTACTTAAAAAGCTGTCCATTAATATCCCTGCATCCTTCTTTAGTACTCTGTCTGCTTTTGCATTAGAAAGATTGAGTGGAGAGAGGAGAGGAAAGGAAGGACAAATGACTCAATAGAGAAAATAGAAGTGGGTGGGCCAAAAGAATCATTCCTGTTCATTACTCCATAAAGTTTTGCTGAAACTAAATTTGCCAGACATGATCCTGAAATAGTAGAACTTCTCCATAAACTGTTAAGAGGTAAAAGGAATTTGAGTAGATACTTCAGTACCTGCTATTGCCTGGTACCATGCTTACCTTACAAAAACCTTTTGAGGAGGATCTAGATTGGCACTGCCTACCTAACTCTGGAAATGTAACAATGAACAAAGGCCGTATCCTCACGGACATTCTAGTGGGGATAGATAGCAAATAAGAAAACAGATAAGGGGAATGTTTTCAGATCATCAGTGCTATGAAGGAAAATAAAATATCATGGAATAAAAAGTAACTTGGAAAGGGATATTGTTTTGGGCAGATTAATTAGAAAAAGAATGGTTGCATCTAAGCAAAAACCAGAATATCTAAGGCATGCAGATATGTGAAGCAGCACTGTTTCACACAGATGAAGTGTAATAGAGTGGGGTGGGGGTGGGGGGGATTGGGACTGGGGGAGGAAGGGACGGGAGAGGACCTTGTAGTGTTCAAGGAACAGCAGAAAGACTAGTGTGGCCTCAACAAACTGAGCAAAAGGAAAAGCTGTGAGACATAAGAGATGATGAGGGACCAGGGTAGACCCAAAAACCATGTCAGGGACAATGAAATTTGTACTAAATGTGATGCAAAGCCATTGGATGTGGCTGCTTTACAGATTTCAGTGTGACTGCTGTCTGGGAAACAGACTGTAAGGACCTCCAGTAGAAAACAGACTCCAGCTGGGAGGGTCTCTACCAAGGATATTTCTGGCTTTTGAGAAAAGATTCTCAAGAGATTCTAATGTGCATTCAGGGTTAGGAAATGCTGGTTTACATTCAAGAGAAAAGAATTTGATTTAAAACATCGTGCTGCTTCTCCAAAAAGAAAAGCCTATTAAAAGCAAAAGCATTTTTGGATATGTCCTTTCTTATCACTGAAGTAACAATTTTAATATATCTTGTGTGAATTTTTTTAAAACCCTTGGGTTTCTTGATTTGGGGTTGTTTGTTTTTAATTTATGTATTTGTTTTCTCTCTCCTTCACCAACCCCCTAATCCTTCTGTTATTCCTACACAGGAACTTGGAAAATCCTGGGAAGAAATTCAATTGGAAGATGATCGGGAGTTGCTCGATCAGCAGGAAGAGTAAGACCTATTATTGCTGCTAATTAAGTATAATGTTTTAAGAACAAGAAAACAGCTCTTTAGTTAGGTTTAAAATTATCATTCTGAAGAGATAGAATAAAAAGAAAGAAGGCCTTCTCTCTAAGCCATGAATCCTTACATGTAATGTACCAAAAACTCAAATTCAAAAATTGACATTGACATAAAAATCACAAAAGCAATTGTTATTCCATCTAAAGTGTCTTGTGATAAAGCTATTAATTGAACACACAGGTAATATAGAATTCAGAGAAAAATACAATCCCTAGTGCTTTGCTTAATAACTTGTTCCCCACACCTTGAAATGATGCCATCTTTGGACTCTGCATGTGGCTTTTCATTGTATGAGAGGATATAACTGAAGTTAACCTTCTGTTCATTCCATTGATGACTAACTTAAAACATTCATGACTACTTTTCTTGAAATTATAAATCTGAGAAGTGTTCTTTTTAGTCTAAAAATTTCCCTGTTCTCCACTCTTCATTCAAAGCTGTTCGGACTTTTTTTTTTCTTCTGGTATTTTGATTTTTCTGGTATAGGAATGACAAGAAATTCACAATATGTACCTATACATATATATATATATATATATATATATATATATATATATATATATATATAATGCAAGAAGGGGAGAAAACAGTAAAAAGGATCTTACATGCTTTCTGGAGTCTGTCTACCATCAGATTTAACAATTGCCCCATTTAAAATGATCAGTATTTCCTACATGAGAGATATATATATATATACAATTTGCCATTTTAAGATATACCATTTGTCATGCAGAAACATACTCCCAGTATCACACCTCACAGCATGTGTGCTTACTGGTTGTGGTTAATGAGAGAGCGCATCACATTTCCTGATATGTTTCCTTGCAAATTAAAACTAGTTGTCTCTGAAAGACATTGCACTGATCTTATGGTGAAAGAGCTGCTCAGAACAGGCAAATATGAGAAAATGAAGCAGCACCTGTTCACTGTTTATATTAATTTCATGGTGCTGCTTTGAATTTCAAAAACTGTATCAAAAAGTCATAATAGAATGTGACAATCTTTACAAAAATGTCAAGAGTTAAAAGAGATTGGCAGGGTTTCCTAGAGAAAAAAAAGGTAATACCAAGTCACTATGTAGTACACCCTCTTGATGAAGGCAATTGCCATACTTCCTATTTCATTTTTAACATAGTGACTGGTCTGATTGGGAAGAACACCCTGTCTCTGCTGTCTGCCTTTTTTGTGAAAAGCAAGAAGAAACAATGGAGAAATTATGTGTGCACATGGAGGTGAGATACTTTTTATTCATTTGAATTTTGTTTTGTTCTTTAAAGGGAAGCTGATACCTTTATTTTCTCAATCATTATGCCCTTCTTAAAAGTACTATAAACTAAACAGAGGTCCATGAAGGAGAACCAGAACACAGAGTAATTTAGTTCATGCAATCAACTAGATGTACATGAGCTTTAGTGTTAAATTTTGCAGGCCATTGGTACCATCCCACTTTTAAGATGCTTATAAGACAATTGTAGTTTAGAATGTGGGACTTGCAACCACCGTTAACGATGCCCAGATAATGAACAGGCTCTTAGTCTTTTTCCTTTACTTCTGTGCTGATGAGTGAGGTGAGCAAGAAGAGAGAAATCTGGCATTCACAAAGCCCTTGGTGGGTATTAGGGGAGATGGAGGCAGAGGCAGTGTAGGGTTTGGTCTTGCAGCCCTTCTCCGCAGTCTGTGTGAGAGGTTACACACTCCCTATACCTCTGATCCTCATCTGGGTGGTAGAGGTATGGAAGGGGGAAGATCTAATGATGCATGACAATATTGCAGCTTGGGGGTACAGGAGTGATTATAATAGAAAAATGTTACTCGGTGTTTCTAATATGCTCTCCCTGCCAATAGTATAACTGACTCTTTTGTCCACCTTTCCTTCAATCTCATTCAGAAACAGTCTTCTTAGTTGAGTAAAATAAGAATCCAGAAAGTATTAAAAAGGTCGTGCTCATTTGCTCTCATGAAAGCAGAGAATCAGTGTCTCTAAAACAGATTATCAGCAGTATGTGTGTGTAGTTTCCACTGTTTACATTCAATTCATAATACCCTAAATCTTTGCACTGAAAAGAACATTAGTACCCCACCCCTGTGAAGGGATTCCCCTTGCAGCATCCTTGATTGGTGTCCTCAGCTTATGCTCAGTCGTGTTCAGTAGTAATTTGCGGTGGAATTCCTAACTGTCCTAACTGTGGACTACACGAGCTGCCTTTGCAAGTACTTAGATGGTCTTTATTCTCTGTAAGGCTTTTAAATTAATACATTTACTCAAATGGACAATTGCAATACTAGAACAGAAAAAAAAAGAAGTCTGAATTGTAAAACTCAAAAGAAATGTGATTTATGGGAAAATGTGAATGAGAGAAACTTGTGCATTTAAACAGTATATGTGACAGTGTAAAATGAAAAGCAGAATTTATAAAATTACCTATCTGCTTATGGAAAATGAGACCTATATCCCTAATTCTGGTCCAGACACACGATAGAGCAGGGCCACATCTTACCTAGGGCCTGAAGATACTTTAGTCAGACTGCAGAATGCATATAATAGATTATAAAAATTATGGATACAAGCTGTGAATAATTCAAATGTTTTAACTGATTTGACTTGTTTGGACTGTGTTAAGAGGCAATTGGATATAAATGGAAGTAGTTAGATTTTGAAAACTTCGAAGACAGAAAATGATGAAATGAGATTTAATTTCTACAGTGTTCAAATTTCTGTGGAGTTTGTAACTTTAGCCTGAAGCATTAAATAATTTATATGTTCACAGATATATTCATTCCTCTTTTTAGGATGCACACGAATTTGATCTCCTCAAAATAAAGTCAGAACTTGGTAAGTTTGACTTGGCGGTGTTTTTCCATGCTGCGGTGTTCTTTACACACCACCCTGAAAGTGGTACTACGTTCTGCAGTTGCAATTGGGGAGCACACAGCCAAAATGCTTCTCTCCACAGATGGTCTTCACAGAGAGGCCCAAAACAGTAGCTTGTAATCATCTCGAACTGTAATATTCAAATATGTTTTTTTATTTCATAGTCTTTCCTCCTCTTGCTATATATACAAAAGCTTCAATTAAAATTCCAGTTAATGGCTAATATCTATTTTTAAGTGGTGGGAGCTTGAGGGAAAAGTGTGGGTTTTGACATCAGATGAGAGCCATTATCACAGCTCCAGCGCCCACTGTGTGACCTTGGGCCTCAGGTCAGCAGAATGGTAGCAGGAAGGGAGAATGTATGTAAAACACCTCTGCACAGCGTGGCAGTGTAGCTAGCTTATTTATTATAGATGCACTCAATTGCATCATTCTCTGTGTCATTTTAATAAATTGGGTGCAGCAAGATGTAAAATACTGACTTACTAATGGATCCAAGACAGTAAAAAGCTCACTTCCTACACCTCAGCTCACTACACTTTGCTGCTTTTATAGACACGTATATGTATGTTTTGTACATAATTTGCTTAGTAGTCAACAGCATGGGCTCTGATGCCAACAGCCTGGTGTCAGAACCTGGCTCTTCCACTTACTAGTCATGCCACCTTGGGCAGTTTCCCAGTATTTAATGTGGATAATGTGGGTTTTGTGAGGATTAAAGGTATTAATACATGGAAGTTGATTAGAACTGTGCAAGCACAGATGCCCTATGTAAGTATTGGCTGTTATTATTTGGCATTCTCTCATTATGCATTTTAATTATACTACCTCTTTCAGGTTGGTTAATAAAGAAAAAAGGCCATTATTTTAAAAAAAAAAAATTTAGCAGCACAAAAATGAATCTTATCAGTTATCTAATAATTCCATTAACTCTCGCTTTCAGAATTAAATTTCTATCAGCAAGTAAAGCTGGTCAATTTCATTCGAAGGCAGATTCACCAATGTAGATGTTATGGCTGCCATGTGAAGTTCAAATCCAAAAGAGACTTAAGGATTCACATGGAAGAAGCCAAACATACATCGCTGCTTCCTGAAAGACAAACTTGGGATCAGCCACAGTGAGTTCTACTCAACCAGACGTCCTTTCTTTGCCCCATCTGCTTTATTTTGAACCTTTATTCGATTTGTCTAAAACTTGAATAAAAAAGAAGTGCATATTTATCATAAAAAGTAAAAATCTTCAAAAACCTTATTTTTAAAGTAATACCCCTCTTACAAATGTTAACAACTATTTCAGATTTTGTGGTGTGGAGACAGATGCAATAGATATAAAAATATAGATTTTTTAATTAATGTTTTAACAAAATATTGTGAGCATCTTTCCATATCTAGTACACATTTTTGCATTTTTAATGGCTGCCAAGTAGCCCAATGGTACAGATAAATCCTAATTTGTTAGATATTTAGGTTGTTTCTTATTTTCTGCTCTTACAAATGATGTAGTAACTATTCATTTGTCTGCAAATTTGCACACATATCTAATTGTTTCATTTAGATAAACTCCTAAAAATGAAATTGTTGTGTCAAGTATGCAACTATTGGGGTTCTCAGTATTTCTTTCACATCTGAGCACTTTACAGAAATTTTGCAGGTGCTCAGTGGTATGTAAATGTGAAGTCTTGTCAGACTCCTAGGTATCCTTTGCCAGTCCAGCCTTAGCTGGACTGGTTCTCACATAGCTCTGGATAACCTCAGTTGAAGGAACCTCAAAAAGGCTAAAGTCTAATGACCCAGAGATTCCTTAGAAAATCCCAGATTTGTGAGAGATAAAATCAGCCCTGTATTGACCTGATACCCTTTTCCTATAATTCTTTGTCCAGAAAAGGAAACAGAAAAAAACAGACTTAAAATTCAGTAGATGGCATGAGTTTATCTTTTTTGATTGCTGCATGGATGGAGCTGGAAGGGATCATGCTCAGGGAAATAAGCCAGAAAGAAAGAAAAAAAAATACTAATTATAATAAAGTGAAAATCAAAATCAACAGGCAACTATAAACTAGAGACACACGACAGGAGGGCGAGAAGGGAGCAGGATCAAAACAAGGGGGGTAAGAATTTTACAGGGACGATAACCAAGATGTAAATGCATACATTGTACAAAAATGAAAAATGATGTAAGAAATATATAAAATAAACTTTTAAAATATTCAGTAGATGTTTAAAATTTTGACCACCCAGAATGAAGAAACCAGTAATGATCAGGTTGGAAAACCAAACACGAGAGAAAACAATTATTTTATTTTTTTAATATTTTATTTTATATAATTCTTACATCATTTTTCATCTTTGCACAATGTATGCATTTTCATTTTGGTTATATTCCCCATACAATTGCACCCCCCCCCCTTATTTTGACTCTAATCCTTCCTCTCCCCACTGCTCCCTCCCCCCCAACCCTGTAGTGTCTCTCTGGTTTATAGTTGCTTGTTGATATTGATTTTTACTTTGTATTGATTAGTCTTTTTCCTGGTCTCTTATTTAGGTTTTCTAAATTCCTGCTATGAGTGAGACCATGCGGTATTTTTCTTTTTCTTTCTGACTTATTTCGCTGAGCATGATCCCTTCTAGCTCCATCCATGTTGCTGCAAACTGCATGTGTTTATCTTTTTTGATTGCCGAGTAATATTCCATGGTGTATATGTACCACTTCTTCTTGATCCAGTCATCTATTTTTCAGCATTTGGGCTGTTTCCGTAGCTTAGCTATTGTAAATAGTGCTGCTATAAACATAGGCGTGCAGGTGCCCTTTGGAATTAATGAAAACAATTATTTTAAAACAATAATTTTCATCAGGTATTTGAAGATTAGTGTATGAAAGAGTATCTGTATTTGAACATTGTAACTTATGAAGCAGAACTGGAGTGAGCCTATGAGAAAAAAATGAAAGGAATGTCATTTCATTCATGACCAACTAGGAAGGATACTAGATTCACTAAAACTGATATTAGCCAATAAAGACCAAAATAAAAATAAAGCAGAAATCTCATTCCTTCTAGACTTTGCAAAATATTGTTGAAATTTTCAGTAAAGAAACCAGCAGAATTATGATAATGTGTACAATTCAGCTGCCTAGAAATTTTCTGGAAAATGTATTAGTTTGGTAATTCAGTATGTCTGTGATTGTTTTCAGGTATTATTTTCCAACCTATGAAAATGACACTCTCCTGTGTACCCTGTCTGATAGTGAAAGTGATCTGACAGCACAGGAACAAAATGGAAATATTGCCATCATCAGTGAAGACACATCTAAACTGTGTGCTTTGAAACAAAGCAGTATTTTGAATCGGTTGCTTCTACATGAGCGCTTAAAAAACTAGAAGGAACTGACACAGAACCAACTTTCCTCGCTTTTCTCCTCTAAGGCAGACATGAAGTATAGTTTAAATCTGAACATCAGCAAAGTCCTTGGTGCAGTGAACTTTTTCAAAAAATGAATGTTATTTTCAAAAAATTAAGTAGAAAAATAAAATGTGACTTTTTGTATTTTGACTCTAAAGTTTTATTATGAAATCATTGTACTTGAGCTCTTTTCATTATATTCATAATTATCTGTAATAAGGACAATGCTCAAATCACAAGAAATGAAATGTTCAAATCATTCAGAAACCTAATTTTATCCAGTGGTTTCAGTCTCTTCCTACATACTTTTCCATCTAACAAATCACAGAATTTGACCTATGAGTGCCTTCTCTAGTACATGGTAAGCTATGTATGTAATGACCAAAAGTGGAACCACGGAAGAGAGGAAAAATTATTTGAGACCTATATAATGCACAGATTCAACCCCATTTCAGAGTAATCAAGATTGACTGTATTCTCACGACTGCCTGGAATTAGCAAACTCCCTGGAAATAGACATCAGGCCATATAACTTTATTTCTTCTACAATGTATTTATCACTAATACATAAGCATCCTTTTTAAAAAACATAACCTCAATACCATTATGACACCTAACAAAATTAACAATAACTTCTTAATATCCTATGTTTTCATTCTTCCTTAGTTGTCCCCAAAAATGTCTTTTTTGTAATTTTTATTGGCTGTAAGACAAGTATTGTATGCCTCCTGATAAGACATAATAAGGAGGACAAAATAATCACTTTTAGTAATGTATACAACTTGTATAATGTGAATATAATGAAGAAATATCATTCATACCCAAACTGAGAAACCCTACTCTCAGAAATCAAGACATAAAGACTGAAATATTGTTCCAGATTAAAGAAGACTAAAGAGAATTCAAAAATATCGAATGCTGGATTGAATCCTAGACCAAGGAAAAATTTTTTTCTTTTGCTATAAAAGAATTAGCTGAGGGCCATTAGAGAAGAACAAAGACCCCGGGAGACGCGCACACAGCCCGGCTGCCGGTAAAGCCTGCGCGGGAAAGCGGCGCGCTTGGCACGCTTGAAAAGAAACGCGCGGACCGGGATCCCGGCTGCCCAGGTCCCGCGCCTGCGACCTAGGCTTGCGGGGAGACGCGCGGAGGTCCTCACTGAGTGAAGGTCCCTCCCCTGAGTGAGCAGGAACCAGGCGCCCAGGCACGGGAGCGGTGCAAAAGGCGCCATTCCCGTGCCACTGAACTGGGCTACAGCCCGCGTCTTGGAACTGAGGGCTTTGAACTGAGACCCGGGGCACGAAAATTCGGGGCGTGGTTTCTCCACGACGGTGGGGCAAAAGGCAGACACAGCACCCCAAAGCTGTTGAGTGTAACCCTACCATTCCCGCTCTGTTCTCTGTCCACACGGGGTGGGGGGAGGCGAAAAACAGCCCCCAAGGACAATAGGAGAGATCTCTCTGGCGCAACCTAGCGACCAGGAAAAAAAAAAGTCACTAACACCCTATAAACAGGGCATTTCTTAAGACTGCTTGAAAAGGGCAGAAGGTTCTGGAGGACCCAGTGGCCAGCCGGGAAGTTATTCCACGCCAGGCCCCTTCCGACCAGCAGTCTGAGCCCACAGAGGGAGCAGGCACCCACGTCCGGGGCAGACCGGGTGCGCAGAAGAGTGTGCCTGAAACCGGAGGCGCAGGGACTGCATCCCGCTTCGCCATTTGAGAACAGGGACATTTCTTCAGTAAAAACTGCCTAAACCAGCAGAAAGCTCCCCCAGAAGACAGAGATGGCTCCTGGAAGGCCAGAGGGGAGCGGAGAAGTTCACCAAGATGTCAGTCAGTCCGAGCAACACAGTGTCCCAACGCATACGACAAATTAGAAAACAGACAGTAGGGAGTAGAAGAACCACACGCAACCTAAAAACTCCTCAGGAAAGAAGCACACCACAAAAAGAAAACCACTCCCCAGATTGCAACGACAGCGACTTGGAAGAACTTCTGAGCCTTCCAGAAAGAGAATTTAAAATTGCCATGATTAAAAAAGTGATAGATCAGAAGAAGGAAATTGAGTCCCTAAAGAGGGAAGTAAGAGAAATGCAGGAGATCAAAGATTAATGGAGGAACTAAAGAACTCTGGAAAAGCAATGAAAGCAGAATAGATGAAATGGAAGAACGAATAAGTAATCTTGAAGACACAGAAATAAAAAGAACCAAAACAGAAAAGGAAAGAGAAGTACGAAGGAAAAAGAATGAGAAAGACTTCGGGAACTATCTGACTCCATGAGGAAAGGAAATATAAGAGTTATAGGAATTCCAGAAGGAGAGGAGAGAGATGTAGGAACAGAGAAAATATTCATGGATATAATTGAAGAGAACTTCCCAAATGAGAAGAAGGAGCTGAAAATTGATATCAAGAAGCAAGAAGAACACCAAACTTCCACGACGAAAGGAAAAACACAGCAAGACACATAATAGTAAAGCTCCCAAGAATCCAGGACAAGGAAAAAATAATGAAGCTGACAAGAGGGAAGAAACAGATAACATTCAAAGGAAAACCAATCAGGCTGACATCAGACTTCTCTGAAGAAACACTACGGGCAAGGAGAGAGTGGAGGGACATAGTCAACAGACTCCAAGAAAACAGATGCCAACCAAGAATACTCTATCCCGCAAAGCTCTCTTTCCTCCATGAAGAAAGAATATGGACCTTCCCAGACAAAGAGAAACTCCGGAATTTCATTGCGACTAAACCCCCACTCCAAAAAATACTACAAGGAATCCTAAAGCCAGAACCTCAGAGGGACGAATAACAACGAAAGAAGACCAAAAAAAAAAAAAAAAGTTATTAAAAGAATAAATAAATAAAATCAAAGGAAAGACAAACATAATGGCAAATAAGATGCTAACATATCAATATTAACTCTAAATGTAAATGGACTAAACTCTTCAATAAAAAGACACAGAGTCCCAGCCTGGATTAAGAAACAAAACCCAACCTTTTGCTGTCTCCAGGAAACACATTTAGCTACAAAAGATAAAAATAGGCTCAAAGTCAAAGGATGGAAAACAATCCTACAAGCAAATGGGCCAAAAAAGAAAGCAGGAACAGCTATACTTATATCAGATAAAACAGACTTCAAACTCAAAAAAATAAAAAGAGACCCCAATGGTCACTACATTATGATTAAGGGGACAATACTTCAAGAAGAATAACAACTCATTAACATATACTCACACCAAACGAAAGAGCACCAAAATATATCAGACAACTGTTGTCCTCTCTGAAAACAGACATCAGAGAAAACACATATGTAGTGGGAGACTTCAACACACCACTATCAACAATGGATAGATCAACAAGACAAAAAATAAGTAAAGAAACTAAAGCTCTAAATAAGGACCTAGAGCATTTGGGCTTAACAGACATCTATAGAACACTAAACCCAAAAAAAACGGAGTACACATTTTTCTCAAGCGCACACGGATCATTCTCCAGGATCGATCACATACTGGGGCACAAGACAAACATCAACAGATACACCAAGATTGAAATCATACCAACCATCTTTTCTGACCACGAAGGCATCAAACTAGAAATAAATCATAAAAAGAAGGCAAGGAACTATCCTACCTCATGGAGATTAAAAGCCACACTACTGGAAGACCACTGGACTAACGAGGAGATCAAGAAGAAATTAAAAAATTCTTTGAATTGAATGACAAGGAGGACACCAATATCCTAAATGTATGGGATGCAGCAAAAGCAGTAATAAGAGGAAAATATATAGCAATAGAAGCTCACATCAAAAAACAAGAAAGAACTCAAAGAAACACCTAATCTCGAAGCTCAAGATAGAAAAAGAACAACAAAAAAAAAAAAACCCCAGAACCAGTAGAAGAAAAGAAATAATAAAAACCAAAGCAGAAATAAATGAAATTGAACTAAAAAAACAATCCAAAGAGATCAATGAAACCAAGAGCTGGTTCTTTGAAAAAATAAATAAAATAGACAAACCCTAGCCAGGCTCACAAGGGAAAAAAGGGAGAAAGCACAAATACAAGAATCATAAATGAAAGAGGAGAAATCACAACGGACACAGCAGAAATCAAAAGAATAATCAGTAACTACTATGAACAGTTATATGGAAACAAGTTCAACAATCTAGAGGAGATGGACAAATTCCTACAACTCTACAATCACCCAACGCTAGATAAAGAAGAAATAGAACACCTAAACAGGCCAATTACAAGCAGCGAAATTGAAATGGTAATTAAAAACCTCCCCAAAAACAAAGCCCAGGACCTGATGGATTTACAAATGAATTCTACCAAACATTCAGAGACGATTAGTGCCTATCCTTCACAAACTCTTCCAAAAAATTGAGAAGGAAGGGACAATACCAACACGTTCTATGAAGCCAATATTACAACTATCAAAACTAATACAAAAAACCGAATAAGGACAACCACAAAAAAGGAAAACTATAGGCCAATCTCCCTAATGAACACTGATGCAAAAATCCTCAATAAAATTTTAGCTATCAGAATCCAACAATGTATCCATAAGATAATTCACCACGACCAAGTTGGATTCATTCCAGGGGCACAAGGATGGTTTAACATCCGAAAATCAATCAACGTTATCCACACATCAACAAAAAGAATATAAAAAACCATTGATAATATCAATAGATGCTGAGAAAGCTTTCGACAAAGTGCAACACCCATTCATGATAAAAGCCCTTGAAATTCTTGGGATACAAGGAACATACCTCAACATCATAAAGGCCATCTATGACAAGCCAACAGCCAGTATCATTCTCAATGGTGAAAAGCTGAAAGCAATTCCATTAAGATCTGGAACAAGACAAGGAGTCCACTCTCACCACTCACTGCTTTTCAATATAATACTGGAAGTCCTAGCCAGAGCAATAAGACAAGAGAAAGACATCCAAGGAATCCAAATAGGAAAAGAAGAAGTCAAACTATCACTATTTGCAGATATGATAAATACATAGAGAAACCCCAAAAAGTCCACAGAAAAACTAATTCAACTCATCAATCAATTCAGTAAAGTGGCAGGATACAAAATCAACACACGCAAAAGTCAGTAGCCTCCTATACACAAACAATAAATCATCTGAAGAAGAAGAAATCAAAAAAACCACCCCTTTTATTATTGAAACAAAAAAAATCAAATATTTGGGAATAAATCTAACAAAAGAGGTAAAGGACCTATACAAAGAAAAAACTATAAAACACTGTTAAAAGAAATAGAAGAAGACACAAAGAAATGGAAAGACATCCCCTGCTCATGGATTGGAAGAATAAACATTATTAAAATGGCCATCCTACCAAAAGCAATATACAGATTCAATGCTATTCCAATCAAAATCTCAATGGCATTCTTCAAAGAAATAGAACAATTATTGATGAAATTCATATGGAATCACCAAAAACCCCGAATAGCCAAAGCTCTACTGAAAAAAAAAGAAGGAAATGGAGGCATCACACTCCCAGACTTCAAAACTATACTACAAAGCCATAATCATCAAAACTGCATGGTATTGGAACAAGAACAGACATACAGACCAATGGAATCGAATAGAAAATCCAGAAATAAACCCACAGATTTATGGTCAACTAATCTTTGACAAAGGAGCGAAGACTATGCATTGGAGCAAAGAAAGTTTGTTCAATAAGTGGTGCTGGGAAAACTGGGTCGCTACATGCAAAAGAATGAAGCTTGACCACTACCTCACACCATACACAAAAATCAACTCAAATGGATTAAAGAACTAGACATAAGACCTGAAACCATAAAATACATAGAAG